TGGGACCTGAGGGTGCTGGAGAGCCTGGGGAGACTGAGCTGGTGGAGGAGAGGGTGCCACGGGGTGAAGAATCGCTGATGCCCAGTGTGATGGAGGAGGTAGTGATGGGCTCAGATGTTCTCAAGGGGTGGCAGGAGCCTCTGGACAGTCTGGGAGAAGCTGGAGAGAGGAATAACGGGGAGAGAAACTCAGCTGCGTGCGAGCCCATTGCTGAGGCCCTGGACCTGGTTGAGCAGGAGGTGGGGAAGAATGAGGAGGAAGCCACAGACAATGCTGAAACCAGGGTGGAAGCTTCTCCTGAGGAAGCCCTGCTGCCAGCAGAAGTGAAATTGGAAGAGGACGTTGTAAAAGGGTGTTTGATTGAAGACTGTAAACCAGCGGGAGATGCAGCCAGCCCAGGGGAAGTGATGCTGGCAGGAGAGGAACCGGAGGCAGCCTCTGCAGCACCTACAGGAGAGGGACTTGCAAGTGAGGAGGCCCAAAATTCAGCAGAGGATTTGTCCCCCATGGAGATCCCGGGGCCTCTTGAAGAAGAAATGGAAGAGCAAGTGGAAAACAGCCCCAGAGACAACCAGCCAGGAGCTGCTCGTGGGAATGGCTGGAAAGAACAAGATGGAAATGATGGAGAGCTTGGAGAAGACGGGGTGCAGGTTGCTCCAGCTCCTGAAGGGCCATCAAGGGATGGACCTGGAGAGGAGACGGGAGGCTTGGAGGCTCACGGAGCAGTGCCAGAGCCCTGGGAGGCCCTTGGTGGGCATCCAAAGGCCACAAAGGCTGCGAGCTTTGACTCTGCCCTCATCCGCACCTCCTCCCAGGCGCGGGCAGCATGGGAAGCAGGGAACACACCAGATCCATCCATCACGTCAAAGCAAGGAGAGGAGCTGTCCCCTGTGGAAAACCCTGCAGATGTTCAAGGTCCAGGTGCCCTCCCTGCAGCAGCGCAGCCTTTCCCCTCTGCCAGGGAAGCCCAGCAGGTGAGAAGCTTGCAGGTAACACGGCCATGTGAAGCTGCCCACCCTCCTTGCATGGGCTCCCATGTTGGGTTTATGTAGTTTTGGACCGTCTGAGCTCAAACCATTGCTCCCGGTCGCAGGAACCTTCTTCGCTCCAAAGGACGATCAAGAAAACACGGAGGTTTGTGGTGGATGGGGAGGAGGTGAGCGTGACGACCGCCAGGACTGTCGGCAAGGCTGGGGCGAGGGGTGAGATGGTGCGCTCAGCTCGGTGAGTGATGCTGGTAGCAGAGGGGCCACCGGGCATCTTCCACCCATTTCTGGATGAGGAGGACCAGGGCCAAAGGGGAGGATGGGTCTGTGGGGCTCTGTGTAAAGTTCTTGACTTCCAGGCTTGGAAAACCCATCTGCCTCCCTGGCCAGGGTCTACTCCTGCAGGAGAGCATGAGCAAGCCCTTCCCTGCGCCCTCAGGGCTGTGCAGTAGGGACACACGAGGAGCCAAAACGTTGCCCAGCCCCATATCTGGTGTGTCCAGCAGCCCACTTAAGGGAAGAGGAGGGGAACGTCTTCTCCCATAAGCTCTCACGTCACCCGAGGAGAGTAGGAAAGGCTGAAGGGGGAGATGGAGGGGCAGTGACATCAGCTGAGCTTGGGAGCGTGGCCACCAAGGACCCAACCAGTGCCCCATCTTCCTTCTTGCTGGGGAAATTCATCTCCATGACGGTGCACCAGGATTGAGCTTCTCCCTTCCTTTGGCCACCTACAAATCAGCCATCCTGGGAGGGAGAGGTCCCCTCTGGGGACACCTGTGGCCCCCTCTCACCCTGATTCCCCAAACCTTTAGGCGCCAGGAGCTCCGTGAGCTGCGAGTGCTGCAGAAGGAAGAGCAGCGAGCTCAGAGCCAGCTGGAGCAGAAGTTTCACCAGCAACGGGAGCAGATGTTTCGTCACATTGAGCAGGAGATGACGGTAACCGGACCTTCGTCCCTTGGTGCCACGATATGGTCAGAGAGGGACATGAGCAAGGGGGTGTTGGGGTCTGGGAAGGGTTGCTTTGGTGGCTGCTTCTTGTGGTCCCTGCAGCCCCGTTAACCGTATCTGCACGGCAGAGCAAGAAGGAGTTTTACGACCGGGAGGTGGAGTGCTCGGAGCGGCGCTACCGGCAGCTGAAGGAACGCCAGGAGCTCGAGTACACGGCAAGGCTGCAAGATGAGGCCAAGCGCCTCAAGTCCCTCCAGGAGAAGGACTGCAGGAGGAGGATGCAAGAGCTGAAGGGTGATAGGAAAGAGGTGAGGGTCCAGGGCAGCGCTGGCTCCCCCAGCAGTGCCACCAGGAGCCTGGGGACCATCTCCCCTGGGTGCTGGGGTGAAGCCCCTCCATTTACTCACCGCAGGAGCAGCGGTTCCTGCAGCAGCAGCAGGAGGAACTCAACGCAGCCCTGCAGAGAGTTGTCCAGGAGCACAAGAAGAAGATGATGTCCATTGACTGGGAGTGCATCAACAAGATCCATAGCCTCCGGAGAGGTGGGCTGGGCTGGGCGGAGGAGGAAGAGGATGAGGGGTTCTTGGGATGGGGAGCAGGGGATCTGGCTGGGGCAAGGGGTGGGTTTGGAGGTGGTCACGGTGCTGTGGTCTTGCCCGGCAGCCCGCGAGTCGGTGGTGTGGAGCATGGAGCAAGGGCACCTGCAGGAGAAGTACCAGCTCTTCAGGCAGCAGGTGAAGGAGCAGCACGCTCTGCAGAGGCAGCAGCTCCGCAAGCGCCATGAGAAGGTGAGGTGGGAGCCACCAGCGACGCTCCCCACGCCCTGTGGGCTCCCTGGCCCTCTTCTGGCTCACCCTCCCACCCCTTTCCCAGGAGACGGAGAGGATGAACCGCTTCCACCAGCTCTTGCTGGAGGATCTGAGGAGCCAGCAGGCACAGGAGCGGGCTCAGCTGCTGAAAAGCCAGCGCTGCGACGCCAAAATCCGCCTGGCCCTCTTCAAGGACAACCTGAAGATCCAGGAGGCTAACGGGGCCAAGCAGAGGGAGAGGGCCAAGCAGGTACAAGGACTTGTCCAGGGCTAATGAGGTTCCCTGGCATAAAGCATGGGGAAATTTCCTCCAAAACTGTAAGCGGTGGCTTTTCAGGATCAGCAGGCGCAGAAGCTGCAGGAGCTGCAGCAGCAGCAGGCTGAGAGCCTGGCAGAGCTGGAGCAGATGCAGGTACTTGGGGGAGGGGGGGATCATTGCAAAACCATCCACCCCAGGGGGGTTTCCCGCACCCCTGCTACCTCTCCTCGAGCACCTTCCTGCCCTTTTCCACCTCCCCTCTCCCAGAGCGAGAAGATGCACGTCTTGGCAGAGCAGGAGAGGAGGCAGCTGGGGCGGCTCGACCAGGAGCACGCCATGGAGCTCAGCGAGTGGAAGGAACGGCTGGCTGCCCGCAAGGAGGTGAGCGGTCCTGGAGCAGCTCCTCCCCGTCTTGGCCCGGTGGCTGGGACGCCATGGTGGAGGGCTGGGACGCCATGGTGGAAGGCTGGGACGCCATGGTGGAGGGCTGGGACACCATGAGGGGCTGCTCTCCCCGCCGCAAGCCCCTGTGGCATGGGCACAGGACCTGGCAGCGCTGTTTTTCTTCTGCAGATGCTGGAGGAGGAACTGGGGAACTCGCTGCCAGTGCAGCGGCAAGGAGGGCTGCACGGCCCCCAGAGCAGCAGGATCGCCCGCTTCTTCCACCTCCCCTCCTGACACTACGCCGCAGATGGCTGGGGAGCGAGAGGCAGGCCGCTGCCGGGGGCCCGGTCCCGTGGCTCCTCTGGGAGATGGGGCTGAAGGATCTCAAGGGCAAGGCGAGGGGCAGCTGCCCCGGGGACGCTGAGCCCCAGGGCTGGGCAGGACACAGTTTGGATCCGGGGGCGGCAGGCGTGGGTGTGTTCCAGCCCTCCCTGGCTGTGCTAGAGGGGCTGGGGTGAAGCACCCTGAATTGCCCCAAAAGCCCCTCAGGGAAGCCTCCCCCACTGGTCTCGAAGCTGTGGATACAGGGGGGGCTGCTGGCGCATCCCGTGCGGGTCTCCCCTCAACTGAATTGCAACTCATGGAAATACATCCTTTCTTTTGTTAAGAAAGTCCCTGTTTGTGACTATTTTACTTAAAAACTCTCAGCTATTTTACTTAAAAACCCCAGCAGCACATCCTGAGCCCCCAAGGTGCCCCCTTGGGCCAGCTCTCAGGTAGGGGGGGTCCCATGTCCCCCAGAGGTGCTCTCTGGAGCCAGGTCTAAGGGTCCCCCACCCTGCCCAGAGCTGTTTTCCACCCACCTCGTCAGGGCCCTGAGGGCACTAATAAGCCCTAAGGCCCTTGACCCAGCCTCACCAGAGGTCCTGACCCCACACCCATGGCCCAGGAGCTCCGCTGGAGCTCAGCTCAAGGGCTTCAGCCCCTGCCTGAGCTGTGTTGGGAGCACGGGTTCTCCCTGCCTCACCACCACAGACCCAACCCTGACCCGCAGACCAACTTCCCGGCTTGATCTGGGACCTGCTTCAGCAACCATGAACTTGCCTGGCACTCTCAACTCTTGGTTGAACCCGGCCACCATCTCCAGGTTGGTCCTGCTGACGTTGTTCAGATACTGGAGGGCTGGCTCCTGGCTGGTGACGCTCCGGCCGTGCAATTCCCCACGGCTCCCAGCTCGCCTGTCTTTAGGAAGCAGCCCTGCTCTTGCTGCTCCCCGCCACTCCTGTTATTTTAACCTCTCTCTCCTGTTTCTGGAGACTCCTTCTTCCCCATCTCAAAGGTCTATCTACAAAGTCTGTAGCAATTTATTATCTTTAAGCTCAGTATAAAAGGTAAATCATTTGGGGGGATGAACAGGAATACAGGAGAAACAGGAGACAAGGGTAACAGTCAGTCCACATAGCGGGAATTACAGGCAGACAGCGAGTGACACGCAGAGGAGCCTTTTGCTAGCAGGCACTGGTGGTTCACAGTGAGATGGAGGAACTCCACTACCAGACCCAGGAAAGAGCTGATGGATCGAAGATGGCAGGAACCAAGCAGGCTGAGCTGCAGCTGTCCATCTGTACAGGTCCTAGGTTTAGGTTGAACATCCTTGATGTAAAAGTTTTCCCGGGATGCAGAGACTGGTGGGATTTCTCAGCCACGGTGCTGGGAGGAGATAAAGCTGCCACTGATGCACCAGTCCAGAGCGAGCACCGGTCAGCTGGGAAGCTGAGCTCTGTCCTGTGGGTCGGCCCTGGGGGTCTGCTCCACGCGGGGCTCAGTTGCCTTGTTTCACTAGGACATCAGACAGGTCCTCTGTGCCCTCCAGCTTCAGATTCTGGGAATATAAAATTAAAGTTTGACAAAGCCCAGGCTCTTCCCCTCTGAGTCTTGAAGGCCTGGCATAAATAACCCCCCCAAAATACCCGCGAGGAAGGTTCAGAACAACCCCAGCCCCTTTGGTCACCGTCAGCGCATGCAAGACCAAGGCTTCCCATCGGCTGTTCCTTTGGAGCCTGAAATGCTCACAACGCTTGGAACAATGCTGAGCAGCAAAGCGCTCACCCTGCTGCTGCCAGACCCAAGGACGAGGAAGGACGGACAGCGCTTAGGCTGGAAATGCTACAAGCGCTTAACCACGGGCTGTCGTTCCCAGCACATCAGACTGATTTCTGTTTTCTACAAGCATGAAACAGGGACTTAAAATTGTCCTGATGGAGCAAGGAAAGGGCCCCGCTCCCGGTGCTTTTCACTGCATGTTTCGCCCGCTGCTCCTGCCCCGTCTGCTGTGCGCACGCTGCGCTTACCTTCTCATTTGCCAAATGCAAGAGGCAGACGAAGGCTAAGGGGATGGACAGGTTGTTGGCCATCACGGAAGGCAGCCTGCAAAAAAGAAGGGAGGAGGTTAGGATGGCCAGAGCCTACTGAAACCCGATGGACGGAGCGTGCTTGCAAGGACCAGGTCGCCAAAGATTAGCTCTTCCCCAGGGATTTGGTTTTCTCTACCTTTCCCCTCCTGCTGGCAAAGAATTTGCCAAGCTGAATGCAAACCCAGAGAGCAAGAGGAGAGATTTTTCCCCATCGGGCTTCACTTAGGTTTGTAATAGACACCAGAGGGTCAGCGTTTGCCTGAGCTCAGCTGAAGTACATCCCCATCTTCAGTCCATCCCCATCTTCAGTCCATCCCCATCTTCAGTCCATCCCCATCTTCAGTCCAACCTTTTTTAGGGCCTCTCTACCTGTGAAGCAGTTTCTTCGTGATGCTGCTGAAGACCTTCTCGCCTGCTACCACTGAAGTGTTCCCCTCTTTCTCTGCAGCTGACATCTATTTAGCAAAAAAAAAAAAAAAAGACAGACTGATGAGACAGATTTTGCTCCCCACTACTCAGCCTTGCGCTCAGAGAAAAACCACTGCAAATTACACTCAGCCTGGCCTTAGCACCCGTCCCACGGGAGCAAGGCTACAAGAAAGGAATTGCCACGACTGTCTCTGCAGGAGTTAAGCTCGGTTACCTGCAGGGCATTCTCTTATCCTTGGGGCCTACTGAGGTATCTGGCTCCCCCTGTGCTCACCTCTGCCACTTCTTTCTTCTCTCCATCAGTCAAGAGTTCCCACATGTTTTTCTTCAACCTCTTCATGTCCATTTTCTTGGCTGTCTTTGCATACTGAATCGCTATTTTATTGACCTGAGGAAAAGAAGCCTGGCGTTAAGCTGAGAGCAACTGAGCGGAAGCAGCAGCGCTATCCTCAGTCGGGACCACGGGAACAAACAAAACACAGTTCTGCTTGGGAACAACAACAGTGAATGCTATCTTACAACTAAACCTTTAATTTTTAATTCCCTTCTCTTACACAAGGGTTCATCTGGGAATAAAGTGTCCAGCAGCAAACCCAGGAGATTCTGCACCAGGGAAAACCACGCTGCACCTGGGGAGGTTGAACCCCATGCACCAGGACAGGCTGGGGGCTGACCTGCTGGGAGCCCTGGTGGGCGACAAGCTGACCATGAGCCAGCAGGGTGCCCTTGTTGCCAAGAAGGCCAGTGGTATCCTGGGGTGCATTAAGAGGAGTGTGGCCAGCAGGGTGAGGGAGGTTCTCCTCCCTCTCTACCTCACCACCCCTCTACTGGTGAGACTCCACCTGGAGCACTGGGTCCAGTTCTGGGCTCCCCGGTTCAAGAAAGATGAGGAACTCCTGGAGAGAGTTCAGAGGAGAGCAACAGGGATGATGAGGGGACTGGAGCATCTCCCCTA